AGAGACACCTGAATCTCAACACCAATGTCCCATCTCCCACCCATGATGTAACAAGATTCGGAACAACTTACTTTCATACAAGCCTTCTTAGAAATAAAAGCAAATAAGGAAATTCCCAATCAACCCAACTTATGAATATACATCTCATTATCAACCTGGTAACTTGAAAGGGAATAAGTTTTAGCACTTACGCCAGCCACCTAATACAAATGCTTTACAGCCTGAAAATACCGAAGTATAAAATGCTACTTAACCAGGCCTAACAGCCCCTTGGCAGGGTTTTGCTGACAGCGAGAGACAGCCCAGCAGTACAAGGAACTTCCTTCTGCTTCCACCTGATAAGGAGGCATGCTATACATAGCGCATTAATCTCCTTCACTGTATGACACAAAGCATTAATCACAACAGCTTGCTTCAACTACAATAAAATACTACTCCAGATGCTTAACCTATGCAGATGTCAAGCCCATGTAGCTGCTGATGTTGCAAAAGCTCACCCGTGTCCCAACAGTACAATGCCTAAAAATACATGAGCGACGAGCAAGAACTCGGGCAGCCTTTGTACTCAGGACTGTGCAACCCACAGCCTTTATTCAGTAAGCACATTGGTATTTGATTTTACCAGGTACCTGAGGAGCTGCGGTGAAAAAAATGTAAAATATTATGTTCAGTTCTTGCTTATTGTGTTCAAAATACTGTAATTTAGCTGCAACAGGTACAGGAAAAGGGCTACAATGCCAATCAGAGGACTGGAGAATTATGAGATGTCAAAAGCATTTGACTAGTGCTGTGAGTGTTGAGAGACAGTACAACCTTCTTTAGAAACTCATTTAATTAGCTATGAGAGAGGAATAATTAAGTTAAGAGAGAAGACTGTTGTACAGTGGCTGTGCACAGATCATGAATAGAGTTAGATGGGAAATTAGAAGAAGATAGAATCATCATGTGAGTGAAGGTCTAAAACTGTCCAAATAGGGAAGTGGGAACACGGAATCAGCTGCTCTACAAAGGCATGTAGTTTCTATTTTATGACTCTGGAATTAAGTTTTGAAAGAAATGTCCTTAATTTTATTTAAAAGAACTTTCAATGCATAAGATTTTATTTGCTAAGAAATTTCACTTCTAGAACATGGGGAAATAGTTAGTCATGGGAATTGAGTTTCAATGGAAAATTAATATGATGTTCAAGGAAATGGAGCATAAGCGATTTTTATATAACGATCCTCTCTTCCCACACCACCCATAAAGCTAAGCATATGCTTAAGTGATTGACTACATCAAGGCCAGGACATTCTGCATGTTGCAAACACGAAATCTTACTCCCACAGCATAAAAGCTTTTACTCTTGTGCACTGCAAGTATTCGGTTTAAGTTCGTATCTTGGTATGTGCTACTGCACACAGGAAAAAAAAGACAAAACCGATATATACCTTGCCTAAATTCGAAAAATAAGGACGTTTGCCACTTTGTCTCAGGCTTTTGTAAAAGTCATTTTCTCTGGCAGTTTAAACAAGGAGTATGCAGGCTTTAAGGTACGAATGAAACAGAAGAGCTTGGCTTAGTTCATGAGGATGCTGAGCACGAATCCCTTTATTTCAGTGGGACACCTGGCCATCAGAGATTGTTTCATACAGAAATACTACAGAAACAAACATGAAGGGGGACAGACCTTCACCATTTACGTGTATATTTGTCCCCAACCTTTCTGCAATCTGATGTTATAATAACGAAACCAGATAATGAACAGAGCCAGTCAGACAGGCAGCTTATGGAAACAAAACAATACACCTGTGTGCAGGCATATGCATACAGACACACACACACTGAGCAGCTACAAATTTTCAAACTCTAGAACAACCCAAGGGAAGTGATTTAACTTGCACGAAGGATGGCAGTTTATATTGCCTAATTCTTGGAAACAAGTTGTTAAAGTCTCTGCCACCACAAAGTACTTCAAATCATTCATTACTCAGACGAAGCAGTTAATCACAACTTTTAAATTTCTTTATGATATTTTCTTCTGTTCTGAACCCGTATCTGTGATTTAGTTCAAAGGAGTAACTTCTCATTGCCAAGCAAGAACAAATACATATAGCATGTTGTCAGATCTTCTGGCTTGTTTCTTGAACCAAAACTCTGCAGAAATGCTCCAGAAGTCCAATTATTTAATTGCAATGCTCTGGTACAAGAGCAATGAAGTCACCCTCAGGCCACCTGTAACTCCACTTCCCATCCTGCTGTTCATCACGTAATTCTCCCACATCATTACGTCTGCCTCGTGTGCCTTCTTACACCATTCCTCTTTTCCCTGAGCCGCTCTTCTGGTTTTTGGTGCACCCCATTAATCCTGAGGAGCTCTGTTGTAGGAACCTTTGAAATGCAGCAGCATAAAGAGGCATGTGGAGAATGACCCTAAGCCCATTTCTCTTCACAGAGCTGTTAGGCCCCATTTTCTTTAAGAATTATGCTGGATGAAGGCTTCTGCTACCTTCTCACCTATTTTAGCTGCTGGTCTGAGTGCCCTACAGTTTCTACCTCCTCTTACCGGCAGCACTGAGGCCACTCCAAACATCCTACTTCCATCCCTACATCTCAACAAACTTTGGCCCTGGCAAATAATGGGACGTAAGGAATGCCACCACAAGAAACGTAGCAGAATATCTGAGCAGTGGAAGTGGCAAGTTAAGGCCAACAAGTTCACGGGTTTGAACATCCACAGGTCTACTGAACAGGATATCTCTGCTCAGTGGCCTGAGTGAATATAACTTCAGCGGTAGGGGAAGTGTCAATGAAGGGTGGTACTTTGGCAGTGGAAGTGGCAAGTTAAGGCCAACAAGTTCACGGGTGTACCACACTGGACCACTTCTAACTGTGGTTTAACATCCACAGGTCTACTGAACAGGATATCTCTGCTCAGTGGCCTGAGTGAATATAACTTCAGCGGTAGGGGAAGTGTCACTGAAGTGTGTAACTTTGCACATTGCCATCCCTGCAATCCAGCCTAGGAACTGTCATTTCAAACTGCAGAAAGCCTGAGTGACAATGCCTTTTACAAAACCCAATATTAAAAGGTTAAACCATTATTTTGAATATGCACCGCTGTATTTTGGTGACATTTCACAGGCATGCAGCATTTGTTTGCAATTATTCCATGAGTGTAGGATTGAGCGCACACCTACACTTCATTTAATATACAGCGAATTGCATTCCCAGCTCGGAGCAGATGTATAGAAAAGATTGTGTCCCCGTGTCATTCCTGATTTGCCAATTCCTGTAATTTTAACGCGGTAGGCTCGGGATTTGCACTGGAACATGGTTCTCAGCATGTGGCAGTTGCTGCAGCTCGGGCGCCAGACAGGGTGCTGTGGAAGAGGTGGTGTCTGCAGCACAGAGGTGGCCCGCAGGCTTGTTGCTTAGACCTCAGTGCACAAGTTTGAAGAGAAAAAAAAGCCCCAAAATCACAAAAGGAATTAACCCTCTATGACCTGCCTTCCCCTTCTTAAACTCAGCGTTACCTGTGAGAACTGATTGTGTAAGAGCACTATAAATCATACCCAGGAAGAGAGGCACCTATGGAAGAGCGAGTGCCTGCAGCAAACACGAGCACCACTGTAAACTAAGAGCAAGCTGAGGGTGTCCCACAAATCCTACTTGGAGGGTGCCAGCAAACACCATCACAACACCCTTCTTCCTGAGGTTTGTTTCCATGCTTCCTCCTTATTGCTAGTCAGAAGGTGATTTCATTTTGACTCTGGTGTTCTGCTAGCACACCTCCTTCTAGAAGGTCCTTTATTTGGTTTGTATGAAGTGCCAATATTTGGGTAATAAGAATGATCTTTCAGATACCAGACTTGCCTGTCGTCGATGTGAAATAAGGTAAGCACAAAGCAATATTCTAGTATTTGCACGGATGAGAGAGGAGGTCACAATGTGTTTCCATCTACTATGCTAGCATCCTCCCTGACATCAAAAGACAGTTTGCATAAGCATGCCAAAGAAGCAGGATTTCACCCTCCATCAAAACCTCTGGAAACACTAAATTTTACTGGACTAGAAAAATAAGCAGCCTTATGAGACAAATTACAAGTGTTTCTCCTTAAAACAATCGTGGCATTGAGAGCCACAGGTTTCCTTCAGGATGACATCTAGGTCCGAAGGCTTCCAGGGAAAGGAGAGGATTGCCTTCAGTTAACCTCTAGACTTTTGGGAAAGATGCCTTTTCGTTTCCCCTGGATCCAAAAATCTCTGGACCAAACCAATTTTTTTTTTGTGTGTGAGATGTGTTTTCTAGATATTCCCATGCCCTTAAAATTTCTAAGGCAGAAACACATTAAAAGCCGGGGTAATCATTAGGATATGCGGATTGGAATAAAACAGGATGCAGACACAAATTCAGTGCTATTTTAAGACTTGTGGTGGTAGGAAAAATCTGCAGAGTTTTGAGCGGGCGCTCTCTTGCTGGTTTCGGTGAAACGCCCAGTTAAGCCCTGACAACACTCGAGATTTTCAAAAGGGAATTTTCTGTAATTATCGCATGAAACACACTTTCAGCTACTCTCACCTCTTGCTTTGTGTACCACTTTATCCGAAAGCAGAGAGCTGGACGTATTACTCTTATTAAATGACAGAAGTACCATCATCTTAGTGTCAGTGCCACCGACTGTTTCTTTAAATTTTACGTTTCAGATGCTGGTAAATAGTCATTGTGATAGTAAGGTTTCTGCTGAAGTTTGCATACCAGAGCAACGGTTCTAAACGATCAATTACACATACTGAAAACAAAATACTGAAACCAGCCCCATTCTTCCTACACTGATCCCAACCAAATGCATTTAACAATGAACCACACAACGTCTCGCAGGCTTGCACGATCCAAAAGGGGATAGTTGGAAATGCAATTTGATTCTGAACCAAATTTTGCTTTAGCATGCACTGTAGGATAATCCAGTCATTGTTTCAAATCAGAAACTGAGTACAGTGAGAATATAAAACCCACTGACCTTTCTTTGCTAAATTACTGTTGGGTTCATACTTCTCAATCAGCTGCTGAACTTGTTCTTGTTTTAACGGTGGATAAAGGATTTCATTTAACCGTGGATCACGTTGCTTAAAATTTATAAATTCCGTCATCTGATCAACAGTAAGGTACGGTTTGCTCTTGGCACCACTAGAGAAAAATTAAAGCAACAGCAAAGCCATTAAAATAGACCAAAAAACCCACAAAACGAATACGTTTCCTTGAAATCTTGTTCAATATCCTGTAATTTCCCAAGGAAACAGAAACAAGATTCAAACCACTGTAAAACAAAAACATTGTCCCACTGTGTCTCTGGGCTAATTTACTTTGCCAGCATGTAGCAACAAATATTCTTCATCAAACACCTAGGAGTAAGACTTTCAAGAGTGTTCAGCATTAATGACATCAATGGGAAGAGTTAGAGCAATACTAAAAGCTTTTCATTCCTCTGAATTCCTGGAACTAAGCAATTTAAGAAAGTAAAAGAGAAAAATGAAGTGGAATTCAATCCTGAGCTTGCCACAAACACTCCTCTGGCACTCCTGGCCCAACTGTTTGGTTTTACTGCTGAATAGCAGCAGCCCGGACTTCATTATTCCAGTATTTGCTTGGGATTTTTTTTTTATAAACCTCCTAAAAAATGCGAGGCACTCTGCATAGCAAAAGAAAAGATGCCTATTTAGAGGGTGAGTAAGGAAAGCAGATTTTGGGTACAATTTGTATCTGGATGGAGATCCAGGAAGCCTCCAAGCCAAGTGACGACGTGCTTAGGGTTGTCTACAGCACTCAGGACTGGCCTACTTCTGCCCTGAGAGACAGAAAGTCTATCCCCAGGACCAACGGGAGCAAAGTAGGTCAAGGCTGCACGCCTCTGAAACCTCAACCTTAGAGAAAACAAGCACAAAAGGGGTATGTGAGCACACCCATGTCGCAAAGATACGTTTGCTAATTGCTTTGGTGGTCTTGGGATGTATTTTGGAAATTGCTTTCATATTGCTTCATGTTCTGATTCCACTGATCAGGCTCTGCTGAAAGTGGGATGTACAACGACTTGCTACAAGGGGTAGAAGCAACACGACTTACAGAGCTTGTAGCTGAATGTATGAAATCAGTTGTAGCTGGCTGTTGATTTAATTTCATGGTGTGAATTCGTGACGCACAAATCCTAAAAGTTACTGCATTTTAGGAACTCTAATGAAGCTTTTGGGGGTGGTTATACACATTCTCACGCCTATTGCATGCTCTTACTGCTCATTACTCTTATTCCTTTACTTTCATGGAAATCTAAACACTCGGCAGTTCTGCTCCTCTAGGAACAAATTATTTTAAACCCCCAGCCATTAGAAATGGAGACAAAAGCCTGGGAGAAAAGGAACCCTTGATCTGAGGTTAAACAACAGCCCGGCTTGACAATGAAACCTGTTTTTGGCAATTGCATGTTGTCCAAATAACCTACTTTGCCGTCCCCAGCCCAGAAAAATCAGTGAAAGGAAAATAAACAAATAAATAAATAAGCGAGCGCCTTTTCTTACAACTCTGAAAAGATGTGGTCGATCTCAGGCCGAGGGCAGAGGTTGTTTAAGAACACCCTGTACACGTCTGGCGTGAAGTCGTCTTGAGGGATTGAATCATTCTGCAAAACAGGAAAAGGTAGTGAAAGAATGATACGGCACTTTTAGACGCTCTTTGTAAACAGATCACTCGCTACTGCACTTCTTTTGCTTCGCTTCCTGCAATGAGAGGAGCCTGGGTTTTGCAGAATAATAAATTCCTGTGAATAACAGAACTTTAAAAGTATGTTTTTTAAAAAAATATAAATACATTCATCATCTCAGTTTCCATCAGGCAAAGTTACCTCTTTCTTTGAGCGCCTGTGAAGAAGAAAGGACGGCCATCTCTCCATCCGAGCACATTAACTGTGAACAGGTAGAGCAATCCCACTGCAGCCTCTGAGCCCGTCCGCAGCGGGGCGGCTGACCGGTGGGGCTGAGCCCGTGTGCTTCAGCGAGCAACACGGCAGCGTTACAGAGGACGAGCACGTCACTCATCTTCCCAACGCTTTCAAAGAGCCAGGGAACGAACTGGGTCACTGAATCGTTATTAACACACTTGTTCTCTGACAGCAGCAGCAATCTCTCCTTTCCCTTCCTGAAGAGACGTGATCGAGACACAGCGATTCTGGGCAAGACCTGGGCAGCGTAGCTTTTCCATACATCTTTGTCCTAAACACTTTTACAGAAAATAATAAAAATTCTCTCCTATAGAAGAGATACCAGCATGTTTTTCTTAAATTTTCTGAAGTTCAGAACAATTTATAGTTTATCTACTTCTAGATAATACTTTCATCATTATCATTGTATCTGCTGACTTTTCTCTGAAAAAAAACCAGAATTACTGTTTCCAGCTGGGAGGAAATACTGGACTGGATAAGGGAAACAGCTCTCTCTATGAAACTCAGGAGCCTTCCTCCCATTTGCACATGCTGCCTTCAAGGTCCAGAAGTCCTGCAGAAGACAGCAAGGGCTGATGCTTTAGCAGGTTAGGAACACTTGAGGGTCACAAGGAATGTGCCAAATTTTTTCCAGCACGGAACAGTAATAGTGTGCTCACTGGCTCCTGCCTTTGTATCAGTGCACCAAGAAAGGAGAAGGGCACAGGAGCTTGTATTTTGTGCGAGGAAACCTTAGAAAGGAACAAGAAAAAGGCAAACACGAAAAACGTGAAACGCAAATACTGAAACCTAATTTGGGAGTTTCCTCCACACAAGCTACCTTTATCAAAAGCTGTGACACTTAGTCACCAGGAGCACCATGGGCCCACATGATGCCTCTACATGGCTCCAAAATAATGCCCAAATCTGGTAACTGGAGGAGGAAAAATGTAACTTGGACACAAAGCTGTTTGCTTTTAAACACCGTTGAACCTGGCTGTCTCAAAAGCAAGCTGCTGGTAGAGGAAATCGTTGCTTTTATTTATTCTGCCTGTTTAACACTGTTGCCAAGGGAACCGGAAGCGTTGATTCAAGCCTTTGTCAGATGGAAGGAAACTTCTCCACATTTTTCCTGCTTTAGATTTAAATAAAGAAATAAATAAATGGCACGGGCATCACTGTATCTCTCCTTCCATCTATGAAACCCACAGAGGCCCAAGAGAGATTTGGATCGTGACCATCATTCAGTGTTTTTGTCCACAAGCGTGGACTGAACCTGACGCAGCTCATGCTCGGACCAGGCTGGGCCATTTCCACGCTCTGCCTGGGCATCCATCTCCAGGCTTCAATGGTCTGAGGTCAACAGCCCCTAGACCCTCGGGCCTTCTTTTTTTGGCAGACTGTGCAAGTGGCTGCAGGGTGAATTGTCTCAAAACTCAGCCGGCCAAACCAACCCTGTGCACTTTCCTATGGGATCAGCTCGCTGAGCCAGGTAACTTGTCAGCGGCACAACTGGTAACTCCTGTACGAGGGTGGATGGAGAAGTCTGTAACCTGAAGTTGAAGGATGGAAATAGCTCCTTTCAGCGACAGCTGTCGGCGACAGAGAACTACATGTGACGCTGTACCTACCACACTGTGATAAAATTGAGTATGTGGTGCTTGAGAGTAGAACTGCTGCTACTTTTGTTTTCCTAAAGGCAGGATTCATAAAGCTTGTAAATTTTCTTGTTATAACCAGCACCTCGCTCTCTTCTGTTTCCTGTACCTCCTCAGCCAGTGCTTCTCGTAAGGGCATTTCAAACGTTGATTCCTTAATTACCACAGAATTACAGTCTCTCATTGACCTAATATATTTTTCCCTTTACAAGGGATTTGAAGGTACTCAGCGCTGAGCAAAATGTGGACCTTTCCCAATAACCTGGAGATCCAGGCTTTTATTTGCCACTCGGCTCCCATTCATAGAATCATAGAATCATAGAATCATAGAACGGTTTGGGTGGGAAGGGACCTTAAAGATCATCCAGTTCCAACCCCCCTGCCATGGGCAGGGACACCTTCCACTAGGCCAGGTTGCTCAAAGCCACATCCAGTCTGGCCTTGAAGACATCCAGGGATGGGGCATCCACAGCTTCTCTGGGCAACCTGTCCCAGTGCCTCACCACCCTCTCCGGGAAGAATTTCTTCCTGACTTCTAATCTAAACCTCCCTGATTTCAATTTATACCCATTACCCCTTGTCCTGTCACTACAGGCTCTTGTAAAAAGTCCTCTCCCAGTACCCTTGTAGGCCCCCTTCAGATACTGGAATATACCTTTGTTTCCCAACCCATATCTCTGAACACCTAACTATAAAGAGGATAACCAACACAGGTCTTCAGGCATAAGTACAAAATTTTTTAATAATCAATTATTTCCTACCAGTAACTTAATCAGTGCACTACAGAACGCAAAGGTCTAGATGGGAGGCAAAAGCCTTGGTGCCAGCATTTGCCACCCCAAGCACCACCTCAGACAACTATATTTAGATTGCAAAAGCCTGCCTGCCGGAAGGGATTAAAATACACTGCCCCTTTCCTCAGCCTGGCCTGAGCCATCCACATTCCAGCGGAACCACCCACACACCTTATGTGCTCATCTCTTTCCTGAGACCAATGAACAAATCACAAACTTTCTGTACCCCACGGGAGCATCCCTCATTTCCAGCTTTGCTGAATACTGGCATTCAGTTGTGTTCTGTGATTAAGACTCTCTACTAATTTCAAGTATTTTTGGTTTATGATTTGTCGGGTAACCTGCCTGCTTTTGTAACAAGAGTATCCAGTCTGTGATGTACTTGGCAGCACAACAGCTACTTTAGATTATTTGCACAGGGAGGTGTCAATAGCTGTTTGTTTTATCTTATGTTAAACAGCCAAGCTCACTGGTGCTTCATTGTGCATCTCTATGTTAACTGGAAGGCAGAAACCAGTCTTCACAGCCAAACAGGTAACTAAAATAAAGCTCTTCAAATTCTATTTAAGGCACCTTTGACTAAAACCAAACCAAAATACCCAACTACTACACCAAGCTCCACCACCCCACCCCACAGGTAGACAAGATGTAAAAAAAAATCATAGGGGAATCAGATCCCAAGCTCAAAAACTCATTGGCATTTAAAAAAAAAAATCATTTAAACATTTATACAAACATTCCTCTTTTCAGATCTGCTGGATGATGAATGCTGCCAAAGATCAGATCACACGGGGCTTGGTCCTGCAAGACCCTATGCATGCCATATTGGCCCAGAAATACATAAATAAATAAACTCATGCTTTGAAAATGTGCTTGACATGAAGTCCATGGGTCATCCCATTGCAGTCATGCTCAACTACTTGGCTGAATCAGGGCTGGAATGCTCAGTGCTGCAGAGAATCCATCCCTTACGAAGGGTACCTAAATACGAAATAAAGAATGTATTTTTGGCACTGAAGAGCTTCTCTGGTGCTATTCTTCTACAGCAGGATGAAGGCAATCTCCCAGGCAATGAGGAACTCCTGCTCCTCTTGCACTAAATACGGTGTCTACATGTTGTCCCACGAGGTCTCCTGGCAAGCATATGCACAGGGAATTTGCTGAAGAGCAGGGATAGCGGATGCCGAGGTTTGTCCTGTCACAGACAAGTCCATGCAGTGACACTATACGCCGGCAGCAAAGCTCAGACTGCCCTGCGCTCAAGTCACTGCGAAAGATGGATGAGGGACTGGCCCAAACCTGGATCCATGAATCAGGAAGAGATTGCTAAATGGTGACTTGGGATCCGCTTACCCATGACTGTGAATTTCATTTTGTGTTTTAGGATCATCCACAGGTTCTGAGAGGTGCAGCAAAATGATCGGGAAACTCATGGCCAACGAGCCCCCTGTCTTCCTAGAGCAGTGAAAGTAATGGAAACTTGGAGAGAAAATCTTTTGAGGGATCGTCATGAGGCATGAATAAGAAAAAATAAAAAGCCTAAGCTGTCCATGAGAGACTTTCATGAATAATTTGGTGTGATTTTGCTGAGCAAGATTCCCTAACATGCATGTCTTGCAAGCTGCTGGAGTCCAGTGTTCTCCCAAGGCTTTATGGGAATACTATTTGTCCTGCAGTATAACGAGGCAGAAAAGCTGGAAGTTGAAGCTAAGGATTTTACTTGTTCAAATAAACAGGAACACAAAGGAAAAGAGCTGTGGATGAAGTACCGGTTTTCTTCTACTCCATTACCTCTATGGGATTCAGAGTTTCATGCTTCTTAACACTCAGCATCTAAACCATTTTTTCAAACACGATAACACAGTTTTCTTTGTTGCATGAAGCGTATTTCTGTTCTGTTCCAACTAAAGAAAGGTTCTAGGTTAGACTAGAATAATTTCCAAGATGGTACCCAGCAACAAGTATCCAGCAATGTGTATGTAAAACTGGTTTTAACTGCTATTAAATAAATAGCAGAAAAAAAAAGCAATTTCTTTTGAAGACTCCAGTTTTTTTTCAGAGTTAAGTAGTAAACAGAAGTAATAAATCAACTAATGTAAAAAGCAGTGCTTCAGAGTTTTTTCTGCATATTTTACCTTGTTTGCCAACAATTAAATGAAAACCCATCTTTAAAATTATTCTTTCCATGTTTCTGACCTCTCAGAATGTAGGTAAGATTATTATAATATTTTATCCTACTTTACAGACATTCCTTGGGATTTTATGGAATTAAGCTCCCAAACCTACGAAGGAAGGTTTTATTGGGAAGAGGTATCTGAGGTTTGGCTTGTGAAGACTTTGCCCTGCTGCTCTTCTGGAGCTGTAGGAATTGGCTCCATCAAGAAACCGCTGGGGAAGCAAAGGCTGAGCAAACATCAGAGCACAGTTTTCTACAAGAGTGAGGAATTAGGCAATGCAGGTTCTCCTCCACCGCAGAGTAGTTCTGCCCCACCTCTTGGACCTCTGAATGTAGGAATTATCCTGCAAGAAACTTCCTGTAGGAGAAGCTCCACCTGGAAGGAGAGACTAAGGACATCTTCAGTGTTATCTCGAATCACATGCTTGAGCCCATTCCTCTTGAAAAAAGCCTTCCTGAGGGTGAGGTAAACCTCTTGCAAATCCTGTGGGTTGAGGAAAGCTCCTGGGTTAGCAGCATACAATGGCTGCATCCCTGCAGCATTAACAGCTTTGACACTAGCGCCTTACAACATTTACCCCAGGCACCTTTCAGATAAGTTGCAGTGACTTTAAATTCTCATTTAACTCAAGATATACATATTTTTTTTTTGTGAGAAGGAACAGATTACACCATTAGCTACACCTTGAGCTGACACTGCTCTGAAAACATGCCTTGAAAATTGTGCAATTCACTGACTCTTAAAATATTCTCACAGGATTTCTCCAGGACAGGTCACACAACCCCTTGCCATTTCCTTCAATCCATCTGCACTTTTTCCAGGCACTCCCGGTCCCTACATAATGTCATATACAAAGCTACTCAGATTTGCAGATGGGTATCAGGAATTTTGATGAGGGAAAGAAGGACCTGCTGCTGAGGACCCATCCAGAGGGAAAGTCAGCACAGCATCATCAGCCTTGAACAAATTGTCTTCAACTTAATCAAGAGTTAACGCCACCGAATGCAAGCAACACTTTGTAAGGGCCAGGAATAAATTCAGATGCTTACCCTGGAAGATGGAAGATTACAAGCTTCTAACGCGGTCTCTACTCGTTTTCTGTCAGCGGAAAACAAGCGGTATATGCTGCAAAACGAAGACAAACCAGAGGGAATTGGCTTAAACACATGCCTTGATGCCCTACGTGGCTTAAAGACTGAGTATTACCTTCTAGGCTATCACATCTTTAGCTATTGATTTCCACTGGCTGCTCAGTAACTCAAGCGACCTTAACGGTGCCCACAGTGAGTTTAACTCTACCCCACACAAGCCCGTATTACAGTGGATAGTTACTTGAAAAAGTCACCACTGCTCTTTTCATATGACCCCAGAGATTCGCAATTTGAATACGTTTATCCTCACAACCTGTCTCTGACATCCCAAACATATACTCACACTAAGGAGTCAGAGGAGACTCTGTGGTAAGGAAGAGGAACAGAACTTACTTCTTCAGCGGAATGCGCCCTTCTGGAGTCACCTGCAGCTTAAGTTTTGTGTAACTGTGGAGAGAAAAGCATCCTGCTTTATTTTTACAGCATTTTCAAGCACCTCTTCACCAACTTTACAGCCCAGTGCCATCGGTCTGATCACATGGCAAGTTCCACTCATTTCTTTTGCCCAATATAACAACCTGTTGGGATACCATTAATCAATAAATACCTTTTCCATCAACAGTAATGCACAAGCGGTGCCAAATACTGTCCGATTTGCAACAGGACATTGCAAATACCATTAATACACAAATTTATCAACTCTCCAAGCTCCTTCCCACCCAGGCTGCCTGCAGGTCTATCAGCAGACTGAACTGTGGCAAATAGGCTACACAATTTGATTGTGAAGGTGGCTGTACTCCTGCTCTTCCAGAGACTAAAACCATCACTGGATGTTGCAGGCCAACATCCCTGTCTCCCTAAGCCCTCCCCATGACACATCTTTCTCCACTAGACTCTAAATGTTGTCAGTCCTCAGCCAGAAGGAAGACAAGTCATTGGCAACTGAAATGTCTCCGCACCAGCAAGACAGTATATTTAGCAGCCCTGGGCAAGCCCAAGACATTTCTAGTATGTAGCAATATAAAAATTACACGCTGAAGCCATCTTATAGGCAGGTAATTACCCAGGTTTTGAACTGAGTATTTATCGCCCCTCAGGACCTGCGACTTCTCTCACATGCTCATTGAGGCAGCAGAACGAGGATGTATCTTTCTTTGACCAAATCTTTCAACATACTGGTTCAAAGCTGACTGAAACAGCAGTCACCCAGTAGCTTTAATGAGAAGCAGTTGGGGCTACAGCTGCTGCTGGTCCTCCCGGTATGCAAGGACTATTGGTTACCAGTATAATGTCTACCAGAAGCGGTCTGCAGAGAGCATAACTTTCTGAGTGCTTCATCTCTTCCACTGGAATATAATTAAAACTACAAATGAGTTTTGCAGTAATACGATCTGGTGAAAAATGTGGCAACACTTAAGTATTTCAGAGGATCTTTTTGAGGGGAGGAAGGGGAGTTAAAAAGCTTTTTCACTTTACCCACTGGCCTACCAAAAGAAAAACAAACTGGATGGTTCAAATAAACTTTTCTTCCCAAACAAAAATACCAACCGCTTCAAAAACAAAGTACGTGCTAATATCCCTAACTAGGACAGGAACGTTTTCACAAATCCTTGTCTCCCCATATGCATCTTCTGGCAACTGAAATCTCTTCTGCCGCTGTGTCACAAAAGTAAAACATTATCCCCTTTGTCTCCTCTCCCAGCACAGCTAGATTAAAAAAAAACAACAACCTTTTTTTCTTAACCTTTTTTAAATTTATTTTTTATTTTGTCTTCTCTTTTCAAAACTTTTGAGTACATTCTGGTCACATTGAATGTTTTCCTCTACAGCCAAGAAAGCTAGAAATAAAAGAAAATGGGGAAAAAAAATTGTGAGCTTCAGTTAAATCAAACTAAAAATGTGTGCCAACCCCCATAAGTACTTGCCATTTTCTTTCCTCCCAAATGCCTTGTTACATCTGAGACACTATTTTATCCACCCATTTAAGAAAACCAAGCATGTTACTCCTAATAAAAATCTTGCTAGGAGCCAGTCCCCACCGATGGCAGCTGAATGGACTCATTTCAGTGGTGCAGTGGTACCCCCAAGAACGCCAAGCTCTGGATGGAATGCTGGCCCAAGGTTTCCACAGCAGAACCACCCTTTGCTCATTACTGCACTGGTCACTACTTCAGTACCAATGTCCATCATGCAGTCCAGCTCCCATTTTTGCACCCCCAACACAAAAACACTGCGCTGTTACAACAGAAGAATGAGCACTCTGATCACTAAAAAGGCAGTTTTTACTAACCATCCCCTCCTCTCAAATTAACCCTATTTTTCCTCATCTGACCAAACCCCAGGAGAGCTGCTCACACTGTGTGCTACTGCACTTCCAATGCTGCAAGGGACCAAATGCCACAAAGAAAATAACCTTTCTAATTCTGCTCTGATGCAATCTGTTTTTTTATTTCAACAAAAGGGTTCTGATGGAACTGCAACCAACCCTCTGCTTAGTACAATAATTATAATGGGGAAATATTTTTAATCTTCAAAATAAAAGATTTCTTAAGTGACTCTGATTTGGCATCTGTGCAGAGGACCCTGGAAACCCTACAGTTCCCAAGTGATTTATTAATTAGTGGAAAAAAGAAGATGACACAGGAATGTCACGCTTGCCTGTTACTGAACCTACGCAATGTGTCCAGTGACTTCATCTTTAATTAATAATGCTTGAACAATCACAGAAAAATGTCTCCAAATAGGACTGCTCTGCTGTAGTGTATGACAACATGTTCCTCCTTTGAATGTGATATGAAAACACCATTAGGTAGAGTCACAGTGCTCCCCATTACAGACCTGTCAGCAAAGTCTGCTGCCCACCTGATCTGAGTGGTAAGGGGGATGGAAATAATATCAAATCGCTGCTGTACACACAGTTCACTCATCTACAACCTACGGAGCTGAAGGAAGTTATCTCTGCCCTTGCTCTCACACTCGGGTCTGCTCCGGTTAGCACAGGGCTCTCTCCACTGTCAACATGCGGAGGGGCAAAAGGAAATGTTAAATGTTTCCTTCCACCTGGGATTTTCTTTGCTTATTATATCATTGCTGTCCCAGCACAGCATTATCAGACACAAAGATAAGAGTTCCTACAACATTCAACCTTCAGAGTTTCTTCAAGAATTCTGTTCACTTCAGCTGCTCCACAACGAACACTACGAGATGGAAACACACCCCCTATCCCCGCCCAGAACGGGCACTTATGAACAGGTGCGTGGGATTAAAGTTAAGCAGTTGGGAATCTTCTTACTAAATATGGGTGCATCTAAGGACCTGGGAGTGCTGGTGGACAGCAAGTTAACCGTGAGCCAGCAATGTGCCATTGTGGCCAGAAAGGCCACGGGTATCCTGGGTTGCCTTAAGAAGAGTGTGGCCAGCAGGTCGAGGGAGGTCATCTTCCCTCTCCTGTGCCCTGGTGATGCTGCATCTGGAGTGCTGTGTCCAATTCTGGGCTTCCCAGTTCCAGAAAGACAGGGAACTACTGGAAAGAGTCTGGAGGAGGACTACGAAGATGATGAGAGGACTGGAGCATCTCCCTTATGAGGAGAGGCTGAGAGACCTGGGTCTGTTTAGCAAGGAGAAGGGGAGGCTGAGAGGGGATCTCATCAATATCTAAAGGGCGGGTGTCAAGGGGATGGGGCCAGGCTCTTTTCAGTGGTGCCCAGCAACAGGACAAGGCTCCAAAATTGGAGCACAGGAAGTTCCATCTGTGCTAGAGGAAAAAATTCTTCACTCTGAGGGTGTCAGAACACGGGAACAAGCTGCCCAGAGAGGGGTGGAGTCTCCTTCCCTGGAGACTTTCAGAAGCCGCCTGGATGTGTCCCTGTGGGATCTGCTCTAGGGGATCCTGCTCTGGCAGGGGGCGTGGACTAGATGATCTCCAGAGGTCCCCTCCAACCCTGACTATTCTGTGATTCTGTAATTCTTTGTAATGAAACTAGGCATGCACAGTCATACAAACTCCAGGAAAAGGGTAGGTTTACTTGCTTCTTGGATGGAGGTAAGTTTTGGGAACATAAGCCCCAGCTTGGTATTTACCTGTACCCAGCCTCGGTCTGTGGGCAGAAATTAAAAGGTGTTTGGGGGAGACACAAAGCTGAATTTAACCAGCCGACTTGTAATCTGGAGAGAGTATATCTTCTCTTCCAGATGCCCAAAAGGCCAGCAAGTACCCCGGTTCATCACCATCATTATCTGGTAGGCTTGGCCATGCTGTTCTCAATGCTACCACTTGTGCAAAACTCACTCAGCCTGCACTTATCATCCAGCTGAGACTCGCTAACCTCAGGTTTCGTTCTCTTCCCTTTCAGAGGTGGGTTTTTACACCCCAAACCTTCTCATAAACATATTCTGCACATTGTTGAAAACAACTCGTAATCTGCAGACTCTGCGAAGCATAGATTAACATATTCACAGCTTCCCTCTGAATCATGTGAAAACCAGAGAGATTAGGCTGAGGAAAATGGACTTCTTGCATTTCTCATTTTTTGATCAACAGCAGAAGAAAAGGGAAATAAAACAGAGCCAGGTTAGTCCAGAATATTCCTTCCTTTAAAATGCAGAGATTCAGACTACCTTGGTATACAAAGGGAAGGTGGCGTTTAATCCTGTTTTTTTGCTATAACTTAGTAGTTTGCGTGAAGAACCCAAACAAGATTTTAGTTTAAATGACGTTTAGATAACAGGCTTTTTAAATCCATGAGAAAGGACAGCCTGTGTTTACAAAAGTGACAACTCATCAAAGCAGAAACAATAGATGACAATGTGACTAACAAGAAAAGAGGAAAATGACGCAGAGAAAAGAGCAACACCCACAGCATTAAATACGACGGCCACTTACGCTTTTTCCAGAAAGGCGTCCCTTGACATGTTCTGTGCCAACAGATTTGTTGCCAGACTGAACACTTCATCTGACCATTCCTACAGAGAGAAAATTTGATTAAATGAGGCTCAGTTTAGATGTTTACTTACACAATGCAAAATATTTTTGAAAATTATATCATTAGTATGAAGTGCCTAATTAAAGTCTGAACTTGATTTTTTCAATTACAGCTTCCTTCCTCATCTGTGAGACCTGGTTTTCTTATGCTGCAAAAAAAGAACTGTTACAATTTTTTTTTAAAAGATATCTTCTTCCAATGTATTAGGAAAAAAAAAATCATACGGATAAATGTCTGATGTAAAGCGTAATCAGGTTTGTGGGAGATGCAAAATAAGCACCCCAGAAAAATATGTTTTCTTGTGTGTTTGACACCGTTCTGGTTGACACACTAAGGATTAAAAAAGGAGCCCCTTACCACCATTCTTTTAAACTGAAGCTGAAATGGGCTTAAAGCTCTCTGAAGACAGACAGACAGACCCGACAGGGTGCGATACAGACCATACCATAGGAAGTCTCTTGCTCTGATGTCCTCCCTTGTGAGAGCTCTTTGTGAGCCCTCTCTCCACAGATCATGAAGTAAATCCAGACAAATAACACGCCTTATATTTTATGGTGAATACCAAATTAAGAACTCTAAGTACCGACTCCAGCCAACATAAGAAACATGCCTGAAAAAACCAAACTAGTAGATATATATAGGGATAAATTTAAATTATCTGATCTATCAGGAAGAAGATCCAACTCCAAACAGAAAGTTCTTCTTCACCCAACCGTTCATCCTTAGACTGAGGTCCTATCCCTCACTAAACTATTTTTTCCTCTTGCTACCCTGATGTAGGGAAGAAATGTCCTGCAGCTGCTTGTGGGACACCTCTTGTCCCCGCATGGCCCTTCCCATGGCTGTCCCTCACTTTTCCTCCCTTTATTTTCATGACTCTTTCCTTCTCATTTCCGTGCATGTTGCTGAAGTCCTCCCCGCAGGTTCCCACCCTTTCCCAGGTTCCCAGCAAGGCTGATCCATGACTACAATCTGTCGATCTCCCCTGCTGGTTTCTCCTGCAGCTTTTCACCAACAACTTCAGTTGGTGTGTTAGTTTTCTGTCCTAGCTTGGTGCTTCTTTACAGTCTTTAACTGCAACCTTTTTTAATCACAACTGTGGTTTTGGATTGGCTTTGTTTCACCCCTTTAAAAGAAAGGAATGAAAATAAACAATGCCTTTGCAAACAATGTGATTTTTTTTTTTAATTTGATGAAGTTTTCTGAGTTTTCTTTGAAACTACAATTGAATTTCCTTTCATATCAGTCCAGATCCAAAATTCTCATCACACACATTCCCCCACCCCCATCCCCTGTGCATGCTTTTTGGAGTTATTCCTTCTCCTTGGTTCTTCTTGAGGAAAAACACAAAAAAAAAGGTGACTTCATTCTGACAAAAATTGATAATGATGGAAAGTATCATTGACTTCTATTGAAGCAAATGTTGCTACCTCTCTTTGGAGCTTATGAGCTTGTTTTACCTAAAATCCCTCAGGTTTCTGCGTGACTAGGTCAGTTTTTGAGGTACAGAAGGCATCCTTTTTTTTTTTTTTTCCCTATTTTTTTAATGTGCTAAGATTTGTTCCCTTAGGTTATCAGATCTTGTTCCTGAAACCGGTCTCACGCAGCTCTTCCCAACAAGGAAGAGATAAGGCTACCTACATGCCTGCTGTTCCACGGGCCTTTCAAATCCTTCAGCTACCAGCTCTTTAAGTCCACCCCACCTACAACCTCACCCCTCAGCAGCTGAGACAACACACCTCCCCGTGACTGGTATTTCTGGCACAGAAAATTTCCTTGCTCAGACACAGACTTCTTGTTCTGGAGGCAAACCACTGCTGCTGAGATAGTCCTTCCCTTCACCTCTCGTGACCACTGCTGTTTTTTGGGTTTTTTTTTTCTTTACTTGTTTTTCCTTCTTAGGTCTAATTTGAGGAAAAAAAAAAAGCGGAGGTGTGAGAAAGAACAAAAGGAGACGGGTTTGCTAGTAACACCACTGCTTTGCTGTGACTCTTGGAACAGAAAGTGTATTAAGGGCAGCATTTTTTTTTTTTTTTCCTTCTTGGCAACTCATTTTTCCAGGCTCAAAATAGGCTCATCTTGTAAGCACTGCTTTGTTTCGGCACTAATAATAGCAGTTAGAACTTCTCCTTGTGACACTAATGGCTCAAAGACTAATGGCAACATAAAATATTATTTAAAATTTGAAAATACATGGGCTTTTAACACATCTTGATAGACTTTGTTTTGTTGTCACTGGTCCTGCTGGGCTTAAAACCGAAGTTTTTTGAGTAAACAGAAGTAGGGCACTTCAGGAGTATCCCACACCCCAGCTCTTCCTTCTCTTTGTCCGAGTGCTTCTTGACAGGAATGTAAGGGGAACTCAGTTGTTACGTGACTGTGGCAAGCATTATTTATATAAACAGTCTTGCCATGTTCCTTTGCTAGTTTTTCCTGGCTTTTCTAAGTGATCACATCTCTCTTGCCAAATACTCTAAGGGCTACCTGCCGGCTGAGCCATCTCCCACGATGCAGGTGCCAAGTCAACAAGTCACAGGCAATAGCTGCTCACTGCCTCTGCCATTTTAGGGTCTTCAGCGCAGGCACCACAGAGCCGCAGCCAAAAAACCACAATCAGAAAACATGCCAAGGATCACATCATCTTTTCCACCACTGGTCTGAACCCACAGCAGGAGGGGAAACAACAGCCCTGAGCACAGACCCCAAGAAATAAAGGAGATGCTGTGGACTGACTTTGACGGGCTCGCATCAAGCTGTGAGCCAAGCTACGTCTCGCTGCTTTAGCTACCAAACGGCTCCGTTTCCTTGGTTTTGCTGCATGGCACAGAGAAAAGCCCATCCTCTGACTCCATGCATGATGCACTCTGCAGCCGTCTTTAGCAGCAGCAGTGATTCCAGAAGGCAGCGCTCGGTGAGAGTGCTCCGCGGGGTAGAAAACTGTTACGTGTCGAAAGAAAACAGCCTACTGCAGAAAGGTTACCACAGCCTCTGAATCACCGCGGTAGCTGCAGACTCCTGTACAGATGTAATACCAAAGGAAAATATAAATCTGCATATTTCAAAATCAGACTGTACCAGTGCCAACAAACTGTTTGCAGACTGGAAGCCTCTGATCCTGTCTGGTACCAGAAGAACCCAGCCTTCCGACATTCAACTCCAAGCAAGTCTCATCCATCATGATAAGAGCTCCCCAAACTTGATTTCCTCTTGGCTAAGTCCTGTTACACTAATTCATATTTATATCATTCCTGTGAACTTTACTAACAAATTTTTCAACTGTTCTGTGCGTTGGCAGGTAGCGTATCAGCCACAGTTCATTTGGAAATTTGTTGCTCAGTGAAGTAATTTCACCCCTCTATTACATGCATCAGGATACGTACCTGAAGACATTTATCTCAACAGAAGAGATGAGACTTTTTTTGTAAGACAGCACACTTTCTTGAAAACACTTCCTTCAAATCAGAACTGACTACGTGTGAAGGCAATGTTTCTCGTCCGTTTGTTTTTGGTGAGAGATTAACAAAGCAAGCTGCTGAAATTCTACGCTTTCGGCAGCCTTACAGATTTTATTTTAAAAAAATATCTCAAATGGACATGAATTTAGATGGTTTGCTTTATCATTTTATTATACTGATCAAGCTCTTACACATGCCTGGGAAGCTGGAAAGATAAAGATGTATTCTGGAAAGCACAGTATAGCGCAACATGTGAATCATCTTTGACTTTATCATTTTACTTATGGAGGAATTCATCAGTTCTTAGTGATGGATATGGGCCAAAGCTCATTAAACCAAAGACAAACAGAATACCTTGGGCTCTGGATAGAGGTCTGCATAGCCAGGATGGACTAGTGCGGTGAGATCAGAGTTGGCATGAGAGGCACAAAAGAGAACAAGAGGAAAGAGATGGGAAAGATGTGAAGTTCACAAGTTGCTGGATTTGGGAAGAGAATGAAATAGAGGAGACATAGAGGTTCCCAGGTTGGACTTCTTCTTGTTGGGAACAGAGATGGAGAAAAAGAGCATCCACTCAGAAAAGGGTTTGAGAATAGATTTCTTTCTTTATCCTAGTTTCTGCAGCACTACGTTGGTGGATGCTCACAAATGCCACCCCAAGACAGGCACAGGCACACCTGTCTGAAAGTAGGCAAGTGTGGTATCAGTGCTCGCTTCTCTTCATCACCAAGATGTGTCTAGTAATCTGCCTTTTAGACCAGTACTCCATGAATTTAAAGCTGCATTCTTTGAACAAACCAGATGCTCAATGCCCTTCAGCTCATCCCTAACGCATTTTAAACATTACTTACCTTCTCCTGGAGGAATGCACATAAAACACTACATCACGACCACATGACCAGTTCTACCTCTTTATTTAGTTCACTTAAAGCAAGCTGAATAGCCCAAGGCTCATATTATCATAATTTTCCCACAATTTGTCCAGTGGGTGTGATGAACAGAGTTTGTAGCAGAACAGGAAGCCTTCTGCAAAGGAAGAAACCCCCATAATCAAATAATTTTAACTGCCTCTCTAAGACTGTTACGGTTTACTTTGCACTTCTCCTCCAAGGGAGGACTGATGGATACTGTCCCACAACTTGAAAACTAAGGCATCAGAAATGAAGGGCTAATCTGAAAAATATGCATGCACTGGAAAGGGGAAGGTGGAGGAGTTTTACACTGGCATTTTTTTTCCCTGGAACATCAGAGAGAGGAAGGGTTGAAATTTGCATGTGTGACATTGAAAACATCTTGTATTTACACATCTTCTCAGACCTCCCTGGTCCTGGAGATGGTAAGGACCAGACTCTGTGGTCCGACTCACACAGAGCGGGAAAACGTGTTAAAGAAGGAAGAAGTTTTAGAGGCGTTCAACAGCGATCAAACTCTGCTCTCACTGAAACAATCAGGAGATTTAACACGATTTCAGGGCAAGCACAGCTAATCTGCAATGCTCTGAAAATCCCATCCCCAGGCTACAGTGCCCGATTGATGAAATATGAATTTATTTGGTCTACCGCATTTACAAATAACAAGGAAGAATTAGATTCTTCATTACTCAGATCACAGGAGTTACTCAGAATTTAGAGCTGCCAAGGTTTTCTAAAACATGATTTTATCTGCAGTATTTTTAAGGTCCCATTACCAAACAGAAAATTGTCCTAAAATAGCAATTTATTTAATAATTTATTTATTATTTCACTGTTTTAGCAAAGAGATGATGGTTCACTGATTGCTGGCTAGGCAGGAAAGAGAAAAAGGAGGACATACAGTCTGATGTAGGTGATTTTCCCTGTTCCTTGGTAAGAGTTGTTTCAATCACTTCCACTTTTGCAGTGTGAAGATTTCTTAACCACCCCTGTAGACTATGCATTTTCCAGTCTGAGGACAGCACTTCCCACTCAGCAGTCCATAGACCAGCACAAAATCATTTTGTTTCTTTTTTTTCATATCAGAGAAACAGTGGAAATTGTGTTTTTGCCTAACGCTCCAATTGGCTAATGAAGATCAGCAGAGAGAGAAAGCTGAGAAGCAAAACCATATCCTCCTAGGTTAAGGCTCTTCGCCTATGCCCTTTTTTAACCTGGTCTGACCGCCCTTGTTGCCTGTGAGGTGACAAAATAACTCCTTATTGTTGTTAAGCAACAACAGCCTATGGAGACATTATCTTTCTAGAGCAATCTAGTGGACTCTAGAAAACAAATCATATGGAAGTGTGTTGTGTGCAAGATTTTCTGGAGGCTGTTATCAGTCTATCTACAGGAACAGAATTGGAAAGAGGATTAGCTTTTGAATGTCAATTTGGAATAGATAAAGCAAAGAGGTCCCACTTCATTAAACACAACTGAGTCATATAGAAATCAGAAGAATTAGAAAGAACCAAACCCAAAACACACACACAACTGTGTTTTAAGTGGTGTGTTGGACAGAAACGAAGGGACTGGACACCTGCATGGGAAGAAGCACTTTGCTAAGGCAATGATGTTGACCTCACAATTCTTATCAAGGGCTATCAGCAGACAAACTGCAATGCTTAAAATGAACCTTTGAACATGGGCAGAAATCATGGTCATGTGTGCAAGTCTGATTAAGTCTTTGACTGCTGACATACTTGCGCATACAAGGCAAAGCTGTAGATTCCCGCCATTCCGATAACAGGTCAACCGTAAAAAGCCAACTGTTTACAAACTTTGTTCTCACAGACGATCCATAATTGGCACACACTTAGAACAAGAGTAAACGGGTGATAACTACCAAGAGACAGTGATGTGTGTTAGGACAGGCACAGCACACGTCTTACAGCTGAGTAAAAATTGGTGTGTACCATTATTTTCACAGTGCTTATTTGGACTTTGCAAGTGATGTTCTGAAGATGAGCGCACATATCAGGAGGAAATAAACCTTGTGGAATTAACTCCCAGAAAAAAATGATTGCACGGTTTTTCTTTGGTATTGAGTGGCACTGCTCTATAGCAGAATTGGGGTTCAGTCCATAGTAACTTCCACCTCTATCTCATTTATCCACAATACCTTCAAAACACCAGTTTTATATGACACAGATGAACGTATATTACCTTTGCTATATCCTCTTGGAATGCCACTAAGTTCAAGTACGATATATTCACCAGGTCTGGACCATAGACAACAGTTATCATTCGATTTTCCAGTCGACCTCCTAGGTTCCCAGCATCCAACAGTTCGCGCAGTTTTGGATCCTGCAGGCAAATACATTACAAAATAGTTTAAAATCTTTTGCAAATACTTCCGTTTTGAAAACGTGTGTTATTTTGAACATTTTAGACATGACAGCACTAGGTTTTGATCTGGTTAATTATTTGCTAAAATATTTGAAGTTATAACCCAGAATAGAAGAAAGCACTCCTGTGAATCCTTCAAAGCCTCTGAGCTCTGTATTGGTACAGTACAGACCACAGGCTGTCCAGTTGGTGGCTGTACATTCCTGTTCTGAGCTATTTTGTCTTCTAAGTTACGCATGTATAAACTGTTTTGTTCATCAAAATAACACAATCTGTCCAAAGGCTACTGGCCAGAGAAGCAGAGGGATTCTCTATGATGTTAATGGATTTTAGATAAAGCCCAAAATGAGAACTTTGTTGTTCCTAATAAAATGATAAGAATGTCTAGAATGAACTGTCTTAAACACTATGGAATAAATAATGGAATTTTGCTCATGCCCTCCTCTTTCTTCTTCATGTCCAAAAGGCCAGGTATTATTGAAATGATGATATATATATAATTTAAATTTAGTTCTTATTTTTTTTCCCAGGTTTATATACAGTATAGAAATGACTACATAGCATTTCTGTGAAGCAAAGATATAGTCAATGATTTTTATCAGCTAATAATAGCCTGAACTTCAGCTTCATTGTTAGCATAAGCACGTGAGAAACAATTTCAGCTTATTTTGCAACTCTACTACTTACTATTAGGCTACAGCATTTCCAAGAAAAGCACTCAGTGTTTTTCAAATTAAGAAAATTCTTGGTCCTTGGCCTCAAGATAAAGTTTATAAAGGCAAAGAGAGATTAAAAGAAGCCTCGCATGACTTACTTCAATCCCCTGAATAGGGCCACTATAATTTGAAAGCTCAAGTTTCCTAAAAGGCAAGATTTTTCAGTGTTGTGCAAACATTAAATAATGGCCAGCGAATTGTGTCACTACAGGATGACAGATTCTGTGTAGAGATCAAATTATTTCTAAAGTGACACAAACATATACTGCCGCTTACATTTCACTCTCACATGAAACTTTTCCCCCACTGTCTGCCTATGTTTAGTATTTATGGTACTTCAAAGATTTAATAACCTAATATCTAAAAACCGATTATCTAGAAATCTAAATCTCTGCCAACCTATACAATTTAAATTTAGTCTATGAGGAGGATAAGCTTAAGATCATGAAGAGGGCCATTTTTCATGGATCTGGCAGGAAATCCTATATTGACAAGATGTCAGTTTAAAAGTCATCTCTTGATGCTTGTAGGCACTGGAGTTATGCATATCTCCACCAAATACTTCACAAGGTTTAGGAGAACATTTTGAAGTATGGCATATTAACTGGGAAGAAACTACAAGGCTGTCTATCATAAAATGCTGAGCCTCATTAAATACCGGGTATGATAGCAAGTGTCGCAGGAAAACAGACAGAATAATCCTATTTGAGGGTTCTGTAAAGAAGGAATATGATTGTGCTCCGAGACAAAGATTTCACGGGTAAACAAGTTAATGACGGGCTTTCACATAAAAGAAAAACAGAAGAAGGACATAAAAATAGTAGTTGCATTCCAGAGAAGAAGATTTGAAGGAGAAAGACAAAGCAATTGTATAATTTACATCTAGGAGAAATGAGATTCACGCTGACGATGCTAAGTTAGCGATGGTGCATTACTAGATGGGTTACTTCCTCTGCTATTTGCAGGCTGAGTGTTACAAAACTTTGTTTAATTTCTCCAGGAGATGAGAACTCATCTGCTTTTTCCGCTCTATCGCTTCAAACCCAGGATCAGACTGATAAATGCTTCTGCTAAAGGGCCTGTTTGGGAAGAGTATCAATCTTTCTGAATTCAGACTGAACAGGATTGTCTCTCTGGTTTTATTCTCTTTCACGTATTTGTCATTCCTTTCTTCCTTTCCTTGGCTGAACCTCTTCTCAGAGTTTCAGTCTTGATGACAAAGTGCAATCATATCAAGAGCAAAGGAAAGAAGATATCCTTTTTCCTTTGTATTTACAGTCAGCTATAGGATGTCTCTATGATGGATCATACTCTAGTTAGTCTAAAATATGCATTAGTCATGCATCACAGCATAAAAAGGAAACATATTTGAAATGGGATGCTTTCTTTTTCAAAGCAAATACATCAAAAGACAAGTTATCCAGGACTGGCTCCGTAAGGTTTTTAGAAGTGCAGAGCAAGTGGACAATCAGGCAGTGTTGAGTATGTACTTAGTCTTCCAAATCATGAGACTTTTCTCCAGGTTTTAAAGGTAAGACCATCCTCTCTGTTTTCTTTAGTTAACAACAGACTTAAACCAGGTATTTTTACATATATATATTTTTACATATATATATAATATATATATATAT